GAAAGGAAGGTGTGGGGAGATGGGGGTCGGCCTCTTCTCACAGGTAACCAGTGATAGGACCAGAGGGAATGGCCTCAAGTTGTGCCGGGGGAGGTTCAGGTTGGCTATGAGGAGCCATTTCTGCTCAGAAAGAGCAGTCAGGCACTGGGACGGGTTGCCCAGGGAGGTGGTGGAGTCACCGTCCCTGGGGGTGTTCAAGGAGAGGTTGGACGTGGTGCTTGGGGACATGGTTAAGTGGGTGACAGTGGTGATAGGGGGTGGTTGGACCAGGTGATCTTGGAGGGCTTTTCCAACCCTAACGATTCTGTGCTTTGAAGCAGAAAGATGCAGTTTATGGATCATGAAAGTAACAGGCACTGTGTGTGCCCCAGGAGAGGCATTCTCCCCAGCACATTTTACAGCAAGGCCACTCTTTACCCTCCTTCTACACCCACAGTCTGAAGCAAGCAGTTCTCAAGCTCCTCGTCCTCTCCAGCTGCTCACCCTACTGGTAGGAACAATGACTTTTTTCCCCTCCCCAAGGCCTACTGCTTCCAAGTCACGCTAATATCAACCTGAAGCAGATGAAGCTTAGCACAGCTCTCCGTGCCCCGCAAGGAACAGTTGCCACCTACCCAAATGCAGCCAGGGGGGTTGGGGAAATGCAATCTCCCTCTTACCGGGATGTCCTAAAGGCACACTGGAATCCCAGGATGACAGAATCAAACCAAGTCTGCCAAGTCTGTTGCATTTGAATGATCTGGACTGATCCAAAAAGGGTAAGGTCATAGCAATTATTTTTTGGGTATTAAATCCTGGTAGAGCCACAGAGGAAGCTTGTTCAAAGAAGTAAAGAGTAAGGTGTATTTAAGAATCATGACCACCCGCCAATTTGAGCCACTTGATTAGTGACCAGAAGAAAGAGTCACTTGATCAAACTCTGGGGGTCACCACCACCCCAAAAGAGCAGCAATTAACTGTGGCATTCACCAGGGATCTATCTGAAACAAATGGGAAAATTAGAAAAAGCAGAGCAAGGTCCATTGGGAGCAACAGGGAACCCACTAGCCCTCAAGCGTAGCCCTCAACAAGACACGTTAGGACACAAAAAGGTACCGAAGTCACATCAACACATCCAAGACACCCATAGAGTTTGTCACTAGTGCAGTTCCAGGTCAGCAGAGGCCACCTAAGGAACACCCAACACCTCCTGGTATGATCTTAGCAGGTGATACCATTGTCCTAGCACGTAATTCACACCTAGAAACTAAAGCAGTTGCTCATGGCTGAGAACAGACACAGCACGACTGCAGGAATGAAGCAAAGAGATTGATCCTTAATAAGTCAGCCTGCACACTGTCAGCCTGTTCTAAGATCCTTAATAAGTCAGCCTGTTCTAAGAGAAGGGAAATTATTTCAAAAAAAGCTAAGACCTAGTATTATCTCCAGAGTAAACAGTTACAGCAGCTTAAGGACATATTTCATGGCAAGTTAATGCTTACACCACCTATTCAAGACTGGCTTTTGGGATTTAAAATTGCCGAGCAGAACAGAATGTGCTTGTTCACCCTCCCTCTTGCGCAGGGTAACTGATCCTCTGCACTGAGGAGGTACACCTGTCTCACCCCTTTGCCAAGGATATGTTTTAACACTACCCTTATTACAAAGAGGTCAGAATATACCTGCAGATTCAGGTCCTTGTAGCTTTTATGGCTATAAGATGCAGCAAAGTTGGTGGTAGGAAAGAGGTTTAGGTGATGGTGGGACATGGAAATATCAAAGCAAACATTCCACCCATCTGAACGTAGTCTCTTGTACTTGTCTTCAGCTGCTGTGATAAATCTGGCAGCATAAATCCAGACCTGAACATCTGAGTTCTACAGAAAATCCTACTGCAGTTGAGACAGCACAGACACCAACACCTTGTTTTCCCATTCAAAAATGTGTTTAAGGACTGCAATTGTCAAAGATTAACTCAGAGCACCATTGCGTAGATAAGAGGGTGAGAAATGTGTCGAAATTAAACTCATCAGCCAACAGCTGACTTCAGAGTCACGCTGACTTTGTTTTAAGCACATTTGGGCACCTGGAAATTCGTGTCCATCTCCTAGCCGTCCCTAACCCAGCGACTGGTTCCACGAGGAGCAATGCCAGCACAGACACACAGGGTGCAACAGCAACCAACAAACAGTCAGCCAAACCAGCTCGAAGCTGTCATCATAGGCTAAAGCCGGCCCAGGATGCTGTCTGCATTATCACATCCCCAGGTTTGTTTGAATTCCACAGAGGCAATACAAAGGTTATGTTTAGTGACTAATGTGGTTTGACACTGGGAAGCTGAAGAGCCTCTTTTTCGTAATCAAGTACGAAGAAACCTGTACAATGCTGTCGTAAAAACAGGGCTACGCTTTTTTGCAAGGCCATCAGAAGAATTCCAAGTCAACCCTAAACTTCTGTGCTGTGTCCCCAGTTGAACAGATCCAGGAAAGAGATAAATGAAGAGTCAAGTAAGTCATAGCTGCTTCTGTTTCAGAACTAAGAATGTCCGGTGTGCCTGGAAGTCTGACCCTCCCTTCCTCTCTCGAGATTGGTCCGGTAAGAAATTATTTATCTTCAAAGTTCACTATCCTCTCCTTCCCTTTAGGCCCCCAGAAGTTTGCTCCCATTTGCTCCTCACAAGAAGGAGCAAAGCTACAGCAGGAAGAAGGTAAGGTTGGAGCACTTTCCCAACTACTAGTTTTTCCTCTTATGAATCCCCTGATCTACTTAGTGGAGCGTAAAAATCTTGCTTTTAATACACAGTTACACAAGAGTACAGAAAGAGAAGTATCTGATGAATACCACTCTTTATCCTGAGGATTTCTAAAGCCTGTTTCAGCGATGAAAATGCACAAGGTGCAAGACAGTAGAATATTGTTTTCTTACATCAGATCACACAAAAAAAAATTAAAAAAAAAATCCGAGGAGCACTGAAAACCCCAGTCCTGGTTCCAGGGTTACAAGTGGCAGAATTCTATTGCTGTTACTTCAGACTCCCTCTCAAACTCAAACTGTGATTATACCTTTACTCCTGACATTCTGCTTTCAGTAATCTCTCTACTTTTACTGAAATGTGGGCAATGAACTGTTCTCTACATCCAAAGAAACCTAAGAAAGGGCTATTCCTATTCCCCTCCCCTCCAAGTGAAGGGGAATACCCGTGCCCCAAATCTGTCCTTCCAAACACCCCAGTCAGCAGCCTTATTTACCGGCCACGCCACCCACTCACTGCTAGAAGAACTTCCACCACTTGCCATAGAAGGGTATCTGTAGCACCAAAATTAACTCTCAGTCTATACTTCACTTTCCTCATGCACAAGCTCGTACCAAGTAAAGGACTAGAGGCTTTAGGAACTTCTCCAGCTGATGCACCAGTCTGATGGGAACTGCCTCACCCTGCAGTCAGGTTGTACTCCTATAAACGACTCCAGCACAGACTGAAGGGATTCTAATTCTAGCTGATGCATCATCATACGGGTTATCACATGGTAAGATCTAGTTAGATTAAGGTAATCTATGTCATTTCCTGACACAGCACACTCAGGATGAGGCTGTACAAACACACCAATTTATATATAGCCTCGTTATTCAATACCGATTTTCTCAAACGACCAGTCTTGTGCCTGCTGCCACAGCCAGGAATAAAACCCAGGGAAACATGACTGGCTACTAGTTGACACACCGGGAAAAAATGTAGTCAAACTATTGCATAAAATTAACTTGTAATTCATTATTAAAGCACAACTCCCACTGTCATTCTCTGAGATCCAACCAGTTTCTATAGAATAAGCAACATACGCTAAATATCCCAGCCCAAATGGCATACCTGGCTCTTGCCTCATCTCTCTTGCCCTGATGCTTCCTTTTTTTTTTTTCCCCCCCTAGAGCAGATCAGAAACAGTTAAGGGACTAAACGTAGTACTATTTGTTTTGCCTTTTTACTAGCAATACAAGCTGAAGGACAGAGCAGAATATTAACTACAGTGTGGTATTTTTGTTAGAAACAACCAAGAACAAACACCTTTAGGGTTACCTCCAGTTGCCAACAAGCTCGAGAAGGAGCATGAAACAGAGCATTTCTGAGTTATACAGAAAAACACAGGTACCAACTTGCCAACTTACTCTTTCACAACAAGCTACTTCCCTAAAAGAAAGCTGGCAGGGAGGGCAGAGGGGTAGATATGGAAAGCTTAATCTCATGTTTAATGCAAGAGTGAGATTTAGGATCCCATTTGGGGAAAGCATGTTTAGCAGAGTGCTCTCTCCCCAATTAAAAGCGGACGCTTTCCAAACAGCTGTGATAATGAAGAAAATGCACAGGGAACTGTACCTGCTTTCGAGGCTTCGCATGGCACGGTACAAACCATCCTGCTGAGTTCCCTGCCTGAATCATCCTGCTCGTTAGAAAAAATGCAGACCTGCATCCTACTCCCTCAATTACTCACGCGCTATTTAAATGGCCGCACACTCATATTCGCTAATGCGAGGACAGCTTTGTTTGTGGTGAGCTCTTTGTTACTCACCTAATTACATGAAGGAATAAGCTGAGAGCTTCGTTCAGTAGTGTCAACAAGGACCTTCAGCAAGGAGCAGCATATTGAGCTGAGCACCATCCCTGGGCTCCTCTACCCTCGCTTTAAGTCATTCCTAGAGCTACACCAAACCACGCACCACATGAAGGTAGTGGAACAAAGCTACCCAGTGCAATGCACATCCTAAATGTTGCTCCCAGTTCCCTGGAAGGGATGGCCAAGCAAAGGCGCTCTGCAGGCTCTCTGAGACAATCAGACCAGAATTTCAAGCTGTGGTACCAGACCAGAACACTTGTAGCCTTCCGGCTGGTTAACAACCAAGACCACAACCAGCCATTTAGTGCTGGAACTCACAAAGATCAATGCTTAAAAAAAATAATAATCTTGTGATGTGAACAAAGCTACTCATGTGGTTTGTATCACTAAGCAGAAGGCTCATTAAGCACTTACCATAGCAAGATTTTTACACCTCGCTTGGTTGCCACGGTTCTCCACGCTGCTGCCCCTCTCCATGCTCCCAACTGCGTGCTTTGGAGAGATTTCGGATGTCGCTTCAGGAAAATCTGAGAGGAGATTTCTAGGCATCACACCCTCCTGGACTTCCTGATCCCAGCGCAGCGCAGGATGCCATCAGCACGTTACGTAGGGTTGCTAGCTGTGCTCATTTCTGAAAACAGAGAAAAGCATGTTATATTCAAAACTGTTCTTAAAATAAAAGGAGGAGAATAAGTTGTAGAAGATCCTAGCGAGTCAAAATAAGGTTCATCTTTAATGCTCTGGAACACAGCTACCACCGATGGTCATCTTTTTTAAAAAAAGATAAACCAGTAATAAAATCCCAGAGGTTGAGATCAACAGCCCCAGTTCAAACACCATCTTTTATAAGCTTTTAAACAGTAATTTATCAGACAGCATTTATTTATAAGAGAAACAGAATCCAGTTCATTTCCTAACACAGTTGAAGTTAACTCACTTGTTCCTCAAGCTGCTTTATGCTGACTACTTCTATTTAAAGATCTAGGAAGAGAATGTAGTGCCATTTTTACACCATCACATTACATAGCAAAATTGCATTTTAAAGCTTACAGAGCTTTTATTTCACTCAGCCATGAAGAAACAGTGCTTGCACATTTGGGAGGTGCTCACTGGAACAGATAGACACCAGCACTTACTGGAGCAGAAAGTTCTCTGCTCTTTAAACCATTCTAGAACCTGTTCTGTTATATCATAGGATCCCAGAACAGTTTGGGTCGGAAGGGACCTCAAAGCCCCCCCAGTGCCACCCCCTGCCATGGGCAGGGACACCTCCTACCAGCCCAGGCTGCCCAAAGCCCCATCCAGCCTGGCCTTGGGCACTGCCAGGGATGGGGCAGCCACAGCTCCTCTGGGCAGCCTGGGCTAGGGCCTCACCACCCTCAGAGTAAAGAATTTCTTCCTAATATCTAACCTAAACCTCCCCTCTTTTAGTTTAAACCATTCCTCATGTCCTATCATTATCTGCCTGAGTGAAAAGTTGCTCTCCATCTTTTTAGAAGCCCCCTTTCAAGTATTAAAAAGCTGCAATGAGGTCTCCCTGGAGCCTTCTCCAGGCTGAACACCCCCAGCTCCCTCAGCCTGGCTCCACAGCAGAGGGGCTCCAGCCTCTGAGCGTCCTCATGGCCTCCTCTGGACCTGCTAACATCTTCCTTGTTCTGGGGCCCCAGAGGTGAACACAGGCTCCAGGTGGGGCCTCACAAGGGCAGAGCAGAGGGGCACAATCCCCTCTCTCCCCTGTTGATGCAGCCCAGGACCTAGTTGCCCTTCTGGGCTGCAAGCACTCACTGCTGGCTCATGTCGAGCTTTTTGCCCAGCAGAACCCCCAGGTCCTTCTCTGCAGGGCTGCTCTCAAGGAGTTCTTCACTCATTCGTGTCTGGGATTGCCCTGATCCAGGTAGAGCACCTCACACTTGGGCTTGTTGAACCTCATTAGGTTTACGTGGGCTCACTTTTCTAGCCTCGTCTCCCAAAAACACTCCAGCAGTACTTCTTCGTTTTCCAAAGTACCACAAAAGCAGAAGTCATCCTTTTGCACTGCTAGCACAAGCAGGGGGCAGGAAGGAAAGAAACTGAGCTCATCTTTCTCCAGTAGCTTAAAACCATCGTTCACAACAAGAAAGAGCATTGTGCTGAGGATCGAGACGCTTTGCTTTTCACCAGCCCATCCTTCCAGGCACCCTGCAGGTGGCTAGGAATTAGCAGTGATGCATCCCTCAAAGCAACTGGTGCCGAGGTACCACGTTACATGCAGCCACTGGGCAACCAGACACCGTTTCAGTTGCGTGGTATCAGGGTAACGAGATGGTCCCGCTTCGCAAGTGCTTCTCCCTTTATTCTGGTTCACGAGGTGACACGAGAAGCAAAGCCCAGTCCACATTTCCAATTCAATTGGATTGCTTCTCCTGCCTCCCTACCGCTGCCAGCCCCGCGCTGAGAAACCCGAGCCTGCTGGTCAGCCGATTAGCATCTCGTGGCGGTGAGATAACATCTGCTGATACTGAGCAACAATTCCATCCCTCCGGTCGCTTCCTCTCAGGAGAGAGCTATGACATTACCAGAGGCACGGCCGAGCACTCCCTCCTCTGTTCTGCAGCACCGACGAGTGTCCCGTGGGAAGGCGCCCGCACAATGTCTTGGAAGCGCAGCCCTGCACTGCCACAACTCGAGTGGCTGGTAACTGTCAGCCCTAATGTTAAAAAAAGAGGTGAGATTTAACCTTGGTTTCACCTACACATTCTTCCTTTCCTCCTATTAATATTGTTAAATATAAATAGTGACAGTGCATCCTCAAGGTCCTTTGGTGATAACACAGAAGCACGCTCTCAGTCCTGGGTTTCGGAATCACACGAGGCAGGTGCACAGAGGAGCCCTGCAGCAGCTGCTGCACCTCCGGCTGCCACGTGCCAAGAAGTTACGCTGCAGAAAGCTAAACCTGAAAAGAACACCCTGAGAATAAAACATATCCTGCAAGAGGGGCTCCACCTCCAACATAAAGCCTGCAGCACCCAGAGGAAAAATGGAGACAGTTTTTAGAAGGCATCTTGGTGTCCTGTATAGGCTGGACATGCCACATCTGGTCCATCCCTTGGTGAGGCATTACAGATGACTCCTAAATTTCTAGAGTTCCACTCAAAACTCTCTGTAAGCTTTTCATAGACTGGGCTACCGGGAGAGGTCAGAGCTCACTGCTTCAGGCTACAGTCGATAGCATAACTGAGACTGAAATTTATCGACTCATGTAATGAAAATACTCATCCAAGTTACTGAGAAACCAACTAACCAGCCAAAACTTTGTGGAAAGGAAGTATTTAGGAGCACTGCTCTACTTCCTTCAACAGCAAGACCTTAGCAAAAATGGGTCCAAGCTTTGTCCAGTGCAATAGAAGTAGCCAGACTCAGTAAAGAAATACATGTCAAAGCCACAGGCTGTAAATACTCCTGTTATTCATCCTGGAGTCCAGGCTCTGAGGTTTCACAAAGCTCCTGAACAATGAATAAAGGCAGCAAGTGCAACTGGTTAGGAGAGCCTCCCCCACAAGATCAAGTAGCAAGCATTACAGGGTTGGCTCTGCCACTGTGTCGCAAGGCTTTGGAGGTTTCACTCATTTCAGAAAGTCTCTTGCACTGCTCCTGAGCTGTGAGCCTGCAGAAAGGAGGTGATGGAGAAAAAACAAGAGCCAAAACCACAAAGCGAAAGGAAAACACACTTCCTTCTTCAGTCCTTCACATTACCTCTAACACATCAGAGGTCATTATGATCATAAGCTGTTCACAAACATTATTCCTTCTCCCCTTTCTGTTTGTGTGCTTTAAGGGAGAAGCTACTCCTACGTGTTTGTACAATGCTTAGCGCAGCTACAGCTGCGTGCTGCTGTACACACATGTTTTACAGGCAAATTCCCTTCTTAACCACAGCTGACACAGGAGACTCTGCACTCTTTTTATGCCCCCTTTTAGGTGAAAAACTTTATGGATTCGAGACGGATAGAGCCAAGAATCTAATGAACTTCTCTTGTTGAACTGATAGCTTGTTTCAGTAGGATTGCCAAGGTAACCAGCAAGGGTTCAAAAAAATACAGTAGCCATCATCAGAGCAAGTGAGAACAGCAGGGCGACAGGCAGCTGCTCCTCCTGCCCTTCAGAAACACAGCAAAAAGGAAAGTTGCTCACAAGAGGATTAATTTCTTACTCTATTCAACATATTAGGTTTCTTATTGCTTTGTTTTTCAGGTGTACCCCTGTCCTGTTAATGGATTAAAAGTCAAATAATCAGACCGTGACACAAGAGTACAGAACCGTGACAGGACCAGTACTGCCTGGGGAGAAAACCCCAGATGTTAAAACAAAAGGCATCTTAGGGCAGCTGCGATTCTGTCAGTGGAAACGATCAGTTACACTAGCACTAGCTTTCACAAGATATTTAGAAGAAAACAATTCAGGTATCATGCATATTTGGCAGAAGGTAGTGGAAAAAAAAATGAAATATATTAAAGTTAATATTGAATTTTTACCTCCAAAGATTTGATTTTGCTTTGACAGTGGTACATGGTTCAGAGAGACTGCATGAAGCTGCCAAAGATTTTTTTTTTAAGTACACTTTTTTTTTTTTTAGTTTTACTGGCTGAGATTACTTCTAAATGCTAGAACAGAACTTCAGTCAGAAGTAATTGTTTCTGTAGTAGGGGATTGAAAAAAAAAAAAAAGTGTTTGTTAATAATTCTGTTTGAAAACTAGCTTAATGAGCGGTTCCACAAAAATGGAAGATACCAGGAGGCCAAAAGTTAACAGCTGTATCAGCCAGGAGCTGAGAGCCAGCAAGCAGGCAGCAGCATCCTATTTCCTGCACCATACATTCACGGTAAATAGAGCCAACAATTTCAGGAAGCTATTGCATGTTCCTAAGAGGGCACAGCATCAGTCTTTTCCTCCCTTCATTATACATACAATTTCTAGAATGCACTTCATGAGAACAGTTTCTAAAGCCAGATTCCTAAGCCTAGACTCAGCACCACACACGCTTTGCCAGGTTTGAGCAGTTATTTCACAGGGAAACAAACTGGCCAGTGAACTTCAAGGTTTGTTTCATCCCCCAGCTGTACACAGACGTATGAACACACACAAAGTGTACAATGTGCAATGTCATCTTCTACTAAGTGGCACTGCTTGAGTTGAAAGCTATGGATCTAAAAAAAAAATCTGAAAGTACTCTGAGGTCATTCAGAGAGCCACTGTGGGGTAGGTTTTATAAAAAATAATGGTACAGGGGCAGACCAGAGACCTTGTATCACAATTAGCCTCTGACAACAGCCACCAGATGCTGAGGGAAGAGCATATAAAACAAGGCAAGCAGAGCAGGAACTCAGCCCGTCTCCTGCACAGTTGTGGTCAAGGCCTTCCAAAACCAGAGCAGGTATCTAACAACCTGATTAGGTTTTCCCTGCATTAAGTGCTCCTGCTACATACCTTTGAGCCAGCTGTACAAGATCACAGGTAAACAAAACAGACTGGCCCACGACACGTTTTCATTGTGCTGCTGTTGTTACAGACTGCTCAAAATTGGCTGATCCGGTACGGTGGATTCATTTCCTCCTTATGAACAGCCCTCCTTCACTACCTGAAACACAGAGCAAATTCTGGAGCTTTAGAGGTTATTTATTTCCTACTTCTGTGATATTCAGTGCATTTTAACCTTTCTGAGTGGAAGAACAGACTACGTGACAGTGCTGCCCAGAAGGGACATATCCCAGGCCAGTTGGCTCACCAGGAACACGCGGGATGGCCTGAGGCATCGCTCAGCCCTTTGTGCTGGCACAGAAAAGCCCTAGGATCAGGCAGAAAACGTAAAAGCCCTTCTCATAGAAGGAGCCAACAAAACTGAAGTAACAACCAACAAGGCTAGTGTTCAGGAGCCAAGGTCAATTGAAATTGGCCAACGCGGTTAAACTCAGATTTCTCCTCCAGATCAGAAGCCCAGATGCCTACGATGCATGCTCCTCAACTGCACGCACAAAATCCAGGCTGTCCAAACCTGAGTTACAGCAGCAGTAACATTTCCTGCCCTTGTTTAGAGAGGGACTGTCATCACAGCACAGCTGGCCAAACAGAAATGCTGACCCCTAAACAGGGCAGCGCGGCTCTCTAAACAAGGGGCAGAGGAAAAGTGCTTTGAAAGATACTTGGATCTCAATCCTTTTGACGGTTTTCAGAGTAGGTGGAGAATAAATTCAAACATGCTTCACAAACTGGGAACTCAGGGTGCTCCTGTGGTACTGCAGCAGCCTGAGACACATGCGATTCACCCCCAAATAATTTCAGTGCTAACAGCCATGTGACACTCCCAGAATTGAAGGGACTTCGAGGCAAGCAACCCAAATATTTCGGTTTAATCTTCCTGCATTTCTACAGTGCACTCTAACAAACTTTCAAACTTTCCTCCAAAGCTACAAAATCCGTTAGCTGTAGGACTAAAAACAAAGATTCCCTCAGTCCTCTGAACCTGGAGCCTCAAGAAACACACTGAACGTCATTCATACAACTCGCACTAGAATCTGCAAGAGCTGCCAGCAGTGAAATAATTAATCCTGTGTACAGAGGTTTTGAAAGAACGAGATGGGCAAGGCACCAACTCAGAGAACTCAAATCCAGCTATTTCATCACAGACTTAAATAGTTCACCAAAGCAGATCTCAAACTGAACGTAGTAGCCCGCTTAAAATGATCACAAACCATCATTTTCATTGGTTCCTAAGCGATAATTCAATTATTACACTTTTTTGAGCACAATATGATTTAGAAAACTCAGTGCACTAGGTGACACCTTTGACTATGTTAATCCAACCCTCAAGTTAGCAGAAAGAGAGGGTTCAATAGTGTCCTTCATTCTTACCTGGTCCTTCTCAATATTCAAGAACAGCCTTTCTATTTTATATTTTTTTTTAATAATAATATACTTTGGAAGTTTTGTTAAGTGAGACAAGAAACCTTTTGAAAAAGTCTAGATCATCATCATCTCATCGTTCTCTCTCCACTGTCTGGGACGTGCCGCTTTTAAAACAGACAGCAGAACACCTCTACCAGATTTGACAATGCTACGCACATTCATCCAGCCTGAAGACAGAATTTATCTGGGAGGAGACTGTAAAAAAGATTCTTCTGCATCTTAGCCTCATCCCTTGCAAGCAAACTTTGTTCCAGTGCATGGCATCAAGAGCAGCTCCAGCTGAATCCCATTGCCTAAAGGTAAGGCAGCCACTGGCATGTGTTTGGATATAACACTGCAGGTTAAGCTAACAGAGGAACATCCCTGAGGTGCTCTCAATCCCTCCCCCCTAACTAAAAATAAAACTGGTCAGTGACAGGTAGTTACTTTTCTTTAGATTAACGTCTTAGGGGAGGATAAGGCTCTCACTGGCAGCCTATGGTTGAGATTTGATGATCGGTATCTGCTTAGTGGGAAAACTGCATACGATACCCATGGCTATGTAGGACAATATTAGCTGGGGCTTTAAACACAGCGAGGTGATGCCTGAGGTCTCTGCTGACTTCAAATGTTCTTATGGAAATTTCTGCAAAGAAAGCATCCAATTCTTTTAAAGTTACTCGCTTTAAGTCTCCCCTCTTAAAAATCAGGGTGGTGCTCTCCATGAGAGCCACCACTTTGGAAACATGAAATCTGCATAAACAATTTTGGGCGCAGACTCCTCTGTAATTAGTCAACTTCTGCCTTGTTACACAATGGAGCCCTAACCCCAGTGATGCTACACCTGTAACGACTGCTACAGTCAGAGCAAGGGTGAACCAAATCCTGTTTTACAGAGCACTTAAGAGGACAAGATAATTTTCAGCCCCAGTGCTTCTGTGTCACTTCGCACACTGGGATTTCAAGTTCCTTTCCTGCATCTGCCTGTGACTGCTGCGATGGCATCAGGAAGAGGGCAGAAGCCATCTGAAGCACAAAGCAGAGATGTTTACTTTAAAATGGAGCTAATTTAATGCACATTTCATTCCTCTGCGAGTACATAAAGGTCTGCCTGCCCAAGGCAAATTGAGCTGAAAAGAGCAGAGGCAAACCAGAGCAGTAAATTCTTACCCTGTACGTTCACTGGTATAGCAATAATCAATACATACCTAACTGAGGGGGAGATCTTTAAGCAGCTAGCGACACTGGAAATTAAAATTCCTCGCTTTTATTTCTTAATTAAGGAAGGGGAGGGAGGTGGTAACAGTATTTGACACAGCCTGTCTGGCTGGCTTTGAAAGCCACATTCGTATCATCATTTATTTTCACGCTCCAGTATTTTCGAAGGTCAGCCAGCTTGTGACTTGTCAACTGCTAAGGAGTGAAGTCGCTGCAGTTACTACATCCAGCCAGCAAGCCCCTCCACCGACACTCTGGGTTAATATTTCTCTCAGAGGCATGCATATAAACAAGGAAAAGCAACTGTAAACAACAGGAGAAGAGTTTTACTGTACACAAAGTAAAGAGATGTAACATGGCATGTAACATGTTCCGTTTCAGACACTATTAGCACTTTATCATAAAACTTTGTTTTATTTATTCACTGCTGTAAGTAGTCTAAGCAAACCCTCAGTGAGGAAAACACCTCTGAAGCAAATCTATTCCACTTCTGAGAAATAATTAGTATCTTTGTTTCTCTGAGATATGAGTGCTATGATGTTTTTCTTTAGTGCTTCAACACCAGCTTTTCCCTTATACGGGGATATTCATTGCAAAGGAAGGAAAAAAACCCACAATCATTGTTCTGAACTATGGTAGCTGTACAATAAAGCACATCTGCAATGCTGTATTAGTCAAAGGACCCACAGAAGAGTCTTAAAATAATACCTTTTTATTAGCCTAAACCAGAAATTGCAAAAGCTTTTAAGACATACTTTAGGGTTTGGAAAGAAGGTCTTCCTTCTGTTCCCTTCAGAAAAAGGAGGACACAAGAAAACAATTGTTACATTTATGGTACTTCATTTTTTATAGTTTAAAATCCGAGCAACTAAGAAAAAAAGAAAAAAAAGTAGACAGCCTCCCTCCAAATTTCTTGCCTATTTCATCTGCGTACTTCTTACAGCAGGCATCATCTCCTGCTACACCCACGTACAGGACCAAGCACAACAGAGCTCCATTTTCAGCTGCCATCCCAAACCCAAAACTATTCAGGAAACGTGCCCTTAAGAGCCTCGATTACTGAAAATCCAGAATCTGGAGTGTTTTAAGGGCTGTGGTTTCTTGCACACACGCTAAACCTCGCCTGAACTACCTGAGATCCTGACCTGACGAAGCAGCAGCCATCTCACATATCACCAGATGGCACAGGCACCTGACAGAAGGCAGGCAAAATATTTGCAGCTAGGATCTGCTACTGTTTAAGCCAACAGTTTTTATTTTCCCCCCCAAGCGTAAAATTAAATTGTGGAGAGTCAGGAAGCAACGAAGAAGAAAAAAGCAGCTCCTTCTCCTTGCCATCACCCTTAGTCAGTAATGCCACACATCCAAAGCCAAATAATGCAGTATGAGACCTTTTAGAAACTCTTTCCCCATCCTTTTTTTTTTTTTTTTTCCTGAAGTTGCCTGTTTTTACATGCAGCAGCAAGTTGTTTTTAACCAGAAGGGGCTGGGGAAGAAAAATGCAAAGAAGAAAGAAAAATAACCCTTAACGCAGCTCGGCTAAGGCTCGCGTCAGGTAGCGAAGAGGCTGGCAAGAAGTTTTTCCTCCTCTCCTTTGGGCACAAAACTGCGTGGAGCCCAGAAACACCTCTCCTGGGCTCTGAAGCCTCTTTCCTCAGCTGTTAACGTTACACATGCTGCAAACAGGAGCTCAGAGCCGCGTTTTGGCAGCTCTCAGAGCATCGCACAAACCTGCCTGAGGGAACTTTAGGGGCCAAAACCCCAAGGGAGCAGCCGCCGTCCCGAGTGCTGCTTCTGGAACCGCAAAAGCTGACGTGAGAAGGGAAATATCCCATTAGTGAGTAACAAAACCCACGCCGGATCGCTCCCACCGAGGGCTGAGGGCTGACAGGAGTGAGGGGAGCCCCGGGGCTTCTCCCCAAGGGGTCGCTGAGGAAAAGGGAGCGGGGAGAGGCGAAGCCAAGCCGGGCTCGCTGCCCTCAGGGGAGAACCCCTCGAGGAAACCCACTGCAGGCGCTTCCCGAGCCCCTGAGCTCCACACAGCGCTGGAAATCCGCCTCGGTAGCTGGTAAAAAGCCGATAGAAAGACGGTCCCCACGGGCAGAGGAGATTCCCTCAGGGGGAGCCCCGCGCTCACCTGCTGCGGGCAGAAGTCCGCGCCTCTCCTGGCTGAGGCAGCGAGGGGACAAAGCGGGGTGCGGGAAGGACACCAGACGAAGGACAGCCGGTTCTCGGAGTAACCTCAAAACCCAAAGCGAGCTCTGCTGAGGAGCCGACCCCTCTCTCATGCGCACTGCGCCCGGCCAACACCCACGGCGGGCGGTTAAAGCGCCGGGCGGGCAGGGGCGGCTCGTCCCGGGTGGGGAGCGGCGCTTGGGCACGGCTCCGCCTAGCCCGGGCGGGACGGCTGTGGCGGTAGAAACGCAGCCGCCTTTGTCCTGAGCCCGCTGGGCAGGGCATAGAGCTGATACTCCTCCCTCCCACACGGCCAAGTGCGGCAGGCTGCAGCGAAATGGGGTCCGGGAGCGAAAAGGGCGGAGAGGGACGCGAGGGGGGGAGTGCTGTGGGGCCGCCATGAGCGCCCGCTATGGGGTGAGGGGTGCCCGCTTCTCCTGGAAATCCTGAGGTAAATTTCTGCCCAGACTGAGCACCCGGGGCTGTGAGGGCTATTTTATGTTCTCTGGAGAGTTCTGGGAGTCTCCGAACTACTTTTCATTCAGCACTAGAGGTTGTGGGGGAAGTGGGGAAGGAGCTCAGTTCGCAGTGGCTTCGTGTCTGTGGGGCTGTCTCTCCACTGAACTACGGGGGAATGTTAAGGGAAAAAGAGGTGAAAACAGTGAAAAGTTACTAGCCTGACCCCCTGCCTCCTCACCTGGCTGCATACTCCTTTCCTGAGCCTCTGTCCTGAATGAGGTAAGGGTTTTGTGTGCCACATTACACAGTGCCACCCATAACAGCTCCATTACACACATGCTCTATCTGTACTCTTATTACTAATATATCATCACGCTGGCAGGAATTTATTTATAGAAGGTAGTCATTTGTGCAAGGCCACGACAGCCATCAGATTAACAATTCGATGCACATTCCACACCATTGTAAAAAATTCAAGCCACTATCGGGAGGGGACTTTGAACAGCTCTTGCAGAAATCATTATTTCTTGCTCATGCTGTGGTGGCAGAATTATTTCTAGAGCAGAAAGCCCTTTGAAGTACGGAAGAAGGAGGTGTTTCAAAAAGAGGTGACCCTAACCAAAATAAGTGGTGTGACAGAAGTGGAAGGGGGGAGCTATGTGATTTAGGGCAGTGCGGGTTGGGAAATGGTGGCACCATGGCCAGTCTGCAGCTCTGCATTGAGCGTCCTCCAGGGCCACGGGAATGGTGTCTGGGAGAACAGCAGGTGATTGGGATCCCAAAAAGAGATTTCCCTTACATGATTTCGGTTATTTTGAAGTTGGCATCTCTAATCTAAACTGTCTGTGCTTTCTACAGTCAAGAGAGATGGGGTGTCTCCACTGGCATAAGACAGGTTGGACAAACCACATTGTGAGGAAGCACCTCCACTGGACAGAGTAATGACAAAGCTTGACCAAAGTCCTACCTGTCCTTCTTGACCAGAGGACTACTTTATAGCTTGCTAATGTTAGGTTAGATGAATCCCAGCTCTATTTTTTATTGATTCTGCCAATGACTTGGTATAGGATCATAGGCTATGACTATCCCCTGCAACATTTGTTACACAACATGACAGGGGAGGAAAGTGCTTCATTTTGTAAAGGAGTGATGTGGGAGTTGTGTCTACTCCATATAGCATGTAGACCCCGGTTAACGAAAACATCTTTGTTTAGGAAACACATTTAATTGGACAATGTACTTAAATGCAAGCATGTACTTTACTGATTTCCTGTGTGGGAACATCAATGAACAGATGCAAAGTGCTTTACTATTCATCAGTGTGGGATGTTAGATAACGTCAATGTGTTATTCTGACAGCATTATGTGTAAGTATATGCTAACTCTCCCTGCTAAAGAGCTAAAGCTCTCTTTGCTGAGTAGGAGATCACCTTGAGGAAGATCACCGAGTCCCAGAGCTTTGTCAGTTCCACAATGTTATTTTCTCTATTTCTTGATTTACCCTCAGCACCTTTTGATAGCAGGTCTAGCCTCACATTAAAAATGTGCTCTGTCTACATTTTTCTACCCCAGGTGTGTCCGAAAGACTTTTTTGTCCTTTTGATCATCGCTTGTATGTTTTTTCTTCTTTCCTCGTTCTTCAGCGTTATTGACTACTAATCCTGGAACTAACTTTATTCTGGGGAGCAGCTGTGTGTTGACACATTCTGTCCTGAAGGTGGGGAAATTTATTGTACACAGTTCCAAGTACACAGCCTATTACTGTGTATTATGGAGAACTTCCCTCCTCTGCAGTACGGAAACTTGTTATACCAGTTTAAAGATATGTCAAGTATGCATCTCCTTCCTCAAACATTAATCATTAATTAGCATGTGATACTGACATTTCTGGTTGCTACTTAATAAAGCAAGACAGTATTTTATGTGCATTTCTAAATTATATCTTACTCCAGCATCAACAGCACAGCACCCGACTGCCAGTGTCAGGACAATCCTATGTATGAGAAGCCCATTTGACAGCCCGTCTGGAAATGTTGCCAGAACCAGAGCCACTGGATCAAGCTAATGTTTGCAAAACTCCTCTTGGCAATTGAGCTCCTTTTCCTTGTGTTATGGATCAAAATTCAAGTTTGTTTTTTTCTCACACAGAATGTGCTTTGTTATGTTTATTACCGCAAATAGCTGAGACTGGACACACTGAACTAAGGAACTGTGGTCAAAGAGGATCTTATTCACCTGTTTCGGATTTTCTTCACAAATAGTTTTAATCTTGGGTCTTTGTTTTCCTCTACAAATGACCTGGATTTAAAGAGCAGGACTGAGCAGTCAGAAAGAAAATGTAAAAAGGTGAAAAACTATTTGTTATTTATTTGAATTTATGTAGGCTTAGGAAGCTCCACAGTTAAAATTCAGGGCCCCATTATGCTAAGCATGGGATATAAAGTCAAAAACATCCCTGCTTTAGAAAGCTGGTAATTTAAATTTTGACTGCAAGGCAACACAAAATAAAAATAGGGAATAAATATGTAGTGGGATATGAGATAACTATGAAATAAACCAGGTTTAGCTGAAGTAAAGTTTGAGTTACTTTTATGGTCATTGCAGTTGAGTTTCGGTTTGTGGTAACTGTGGTATTGTGGTTTGTTATTTGTACAGATTGGCAATTAGAAACCTCAGGACAAGATAGTGGCTTATCATACAAAGTAACAATCCAAATACCATCTAGTTAGCATTCCTTGTTACTCATGTTTACAATCACTGATCCCACAGGAGATAAGCTTCACAACTCTTTTATACAACTTTTCCTAATAATTGGCCATGTCCTTGATTTCGGCAAGGCATTCCTGGCTAGTGCCCGGACTTGGTGCCCCAGCACGCTTTCCTTTTCAGTGCCTAGCTGCCAGGATGGAATCCAAACAGCAAGATAAATTTACAGTGGTAAATTTGGGGATTTGTCTGTGAATCAGCAGCAGACTGAGATCCCAGCCCAGATGTCACTGCTGCCTCAGTTGTGCCAGCTCAGTGGCTTTTGTGCACTTTTGTGATCAGGTCTGGGTAGTGATCCAGACTAAATTTTTGTCTTATTTTTTATTTGGGTAGGTGGGGAATCATTAAAAAAATATATACAATTTTGCATTTGGTTTAGAGCATCATTGGACAAAAATCCTTTGGGTTTAGGGAGACAAACAGCAACCTCTGAAACCAGATCCTCTGCCATGGGGATTGGGATGTGGAACTCCAGAAATGTTGATCCAGGGTGCAAAAGGACAAAAAAGCATGAACTTTCTCAAAAGATGGAAAGTCTGAAGTCCCATCCTTCTCTGAGCTGCAGAGAGCAACTCCTGTTCCTTCCCCAGGTGATCGGGGTATGTGTGTGGAAAGTGAGAGGTGAGTTTGGATGGTCTGAAGGTTAAGGGACAACTGAGCCTCTTAGCCTGATGCTTCCTAGACAAGGATCTGAGATACCATCACTAGCTGTAAAAATGGCCATGATAGGATCTGGGAGAGCAGAGGCAGTCAGCATTTATTAGGCGTTCTCTAGGAATGCCTTTAGCAGTTAAAGGCATTCTTCTGGGAGTAAGCCAGAAGAATACCTGGTTTTTGAGGGATGCTCCACCTTAACTGGGAAAAAAACCCTGAAGCTGCAGTGGCCACTGCCATTCTGTACCTGCACAGAAGCAGAACTAGAGGCATCAAGAGCGTCCACAGGCCATTTTTTCCACCCCTGCTTCTTGACCCACTGTTTTTCTCCAGAGCTCCCCATGCTGCCTTCTGGCTCCATCAAGCTGTTCCCTTCTTGTCCCTCTTCCATGCTGCTGGCTCCAGATACCCTGAGCCTGATCTGATAGGCACGCTAGTAAGTTGTCTAGTAAGTTGGACTTAATTTCCTGAGCTTCCTTTTGATGTTGGTGCATCGCACTAGTGAGACGAGATTTGCAGGTATGAGGAGAAGTTGATGGAGGAAGGAGTTCCCCAGGGAGCTGTGCCATCCTTGGGGTTTGTTTGTAGTTCAGTAGGAGGGGAAAGAAAGGGGAGCTGGGGGTATTTGGGGAGTTCAGTACCCTGGTTGCACTTAAACTTCAATTTAGGCACTTAAATCCTTTATTGGTGTAGTTGTTAATCCTTCCCTTCAGCAGATCCTGCTCTTTGAGCAAATTATTCCCTTTCCTATAGGCTTCTATTGCATTCATGCTGTAGAACAACCTGACAGCTGTTCTTTGATTTCTGATATTTAAAAAAATCTGTTTTCTGACATTTTCTGACAGTTTGTTCTCCCATACCTCCCAATGAGGATAGACAGCTAGATATTTTCCAGAATCAGCAGATCTGAAATGGATGCGACTCACTGTGGGGAATGGAAGAATATGCCACGGACCTGAGTTAATATTAATCATATTGTTTCCAAAGGAGAGGAATGCAAATATAATCAAAGAAATACATAGAATGATTTATTCTAAAAGAGCATAAGATACATACACTCAGAAAAAAAAATCTAAATTTATTTATTTATTTTTTTAGATTTCTGTTTAGATTTGTGTTCGGACTGCAAGTTAATTCTTCTAATGGCCCTCCATTGGCCCATAACACAAGTCTGGATGATCTTAATTCCAGTTCCCAAGGACAGAGTGTCCTGTGGCACGGTGAGCTGTGCTTTGCACTTGAGCTGTATTTTCTGTTTCAGCAGAACTGAATGATTTGTGGAGAAGGGCAGCACAGAGGGATTCCTTGTGTTTGAGAGAAGTGCTTGTCATTGTTATCTGGGATGTTCTCTGACTGTTCTGGAAAGGGATTATAATTTTTATTTTTTTTTGGTAGGGCTGTGGGGTCTGCCCAGAGTCGACTTTAAAGTCAGTGGAGCAAATCCTGGTAATTTCATTAGGAGCTGAATTGGGCCTTTACTAGATCAAGAAAAGGGTTTAAATCTCTGTAGCGGAATGTAAGTGGACTTTAGACATTTAAATTTCTTCTGCAATCCAAACAATCTCTACTTATCAGCCAACTAAACCTGCATCTGCCTTATCTCTGGAGGTGCCTGTCTGTTTGATCTGAAAGTTCGCTGGTTGCACATTCTGTCTGAGGTGAACAGAAAGTGTCAGCACAAACTTCACCTTGTTCAACATCATAGCTTGCAGGTTTTCCCTCCTCAGTGTAACTCAGGCTCAAAGTGCCCAAAATGTGTCCAGGGGTACGTGGTGTTATTTACTTGTGAACGGGGTTTCAACACACTGCACCTTCACAGAAATCAGGCTGGTGGATAACCTTTGTGGGTCAGAAAGTGAGAGCACAGATAAAAGCTTGTAATCAATATGTTACAGTAAGATGAAAGGAAGAAAGAGGGATGGAAATCCTCATCCCTAGACCTTCAAGGACAAATCGTGTGTTTTACATCACCATCAACGGATAAAAAAAAATTCCCCATCGTGGCAGTCCTCTAATACTTTGGGACAAGGCTATTAGGGGATAATCCTAGCCTAAAACACAACCCTCTGCTCAAGCATTGGTTCTCCTAATGCTGCAGGATACAATTACAGAACAAGGCCTGGAAACCACAGCCTTTGTTCTGCCTTATTGCTTAATTGTTTAATGAAGTATTCACTTCATCTAAGTGAGTGCTTTGTAATTTGGAAGTTGCATGCAGCTGGCAGTGGCAAGAAGCAAAGAACTGGCTTTTTTACAGAATAATTTGTTCTCTTGGTAAAAGAAGGAACCATTAAAGATATCTGGCTCTGATAGTAAATAACCTGAGAGATCTCCCCATAAAAGGGAAATCTCACCCTTAAAAGTGAGGAAGGAAAGCATAATTCTTACTTTTTTTTTTTTTTTTTTCCTTCCTCTCCTTTCCTCTTGCCCTTGTTGCTGTGCAATGACATATGGAAGCGGTGGTTTTACCATTAGGAACTGATCATGCACTAGCCGCTTAGTTCCTAAGGTCAGGACACTGCTGGGACTTGAACTTCTAACACTGGAATGGGAGAGACATTCCTGACCACAAAAAAAAAAAAAAAAGGTAGGCATATCAAGATGGGTGCAATATTCAGGCCCGTATCAGTCACCATAAATAAACACAAAATAACATTTTAAAAAGTGTATTTTAAACTCTTTTATGTGTTTTAAGAGAAAAGCAGTAGCACAGTTCTGATCTTGAAGATATCCCTATGCTTCAGCTCCCAAGGTCAGCAAAGACTTCATTTCTCTACTGGCTACTGCTAGGCACCTCCCAACACTTCAGGTGTTTTAGATCACTCTTTTGAAGCATTTATTTCTCTTTATGTACTGCAGAAGGAACTTAGACCCTTAGCTCTGGGGTTGGATTCCATTTTTGGCCAGACACCAGATACCAGGAGTCTATTTGCAATAGACTACTGAGAAAATGTGACTCTGGAAACAGGAGAAAAACATTTGAATTCTGAAGCTTTCTTGAAATCCAGCAATGCAGGGTCTCTTGCAAATGCTCATTACCAGTCTTTTCTTTAATAGCTAAAAAAGTGTTTTGTGAATAAGATTAATACACAGAACAGGTGAAGCCACCTGTGCATGAATCCCTTCTCCTGCCACTTCTGACTTTTGGGAGGTCGTGTCTGTGAATATTTTGCTAGTTCTCAAAAGGAAGAATGCTTCTTCATTGCAATCACATTTCTAGGGGAATATAGCAATGGAAGGGGCAAATTACGGGTTGTTCTCTTGTTGCTTTTCCATGCAGACTCTGCTGTACATGCCGTTGTGAAATCCACGGATGATGGGAAGGAAGCCACCGTGCAGCGTCCCTAGGAGCATCAACAAGCAGTGTGGTGCAGGGCACCTGTATGCACAGGGTAGATACACGTGGGTATAGCTTATACACTGCTCTTGGCCCAAAAGGGGTGACAAGCGCATGACTTCTAGCAACCGGTTCAATTTAAAGAGAAGTACAGTGCAACCCTTTTGTTTGTCTGGACGCTTTGTAACATGTTTTCACGCATCTTCTCTTTTCAACATCATTTAACAAACTATTCCACGCCTTTTAATAAATTATAGTCATTAACCTTGCCGAGGGCAGGATTTTAATTCAGGCAGTAAAGAATCTGTCCTCCAGGCATGAATGTTCAAGAGCACAAGAGCGTCAGAGCTAACATCAATTCAAGGACCAGCAGGACCCAAACTGGCTTACAGCCATCTTTTGTACCTTTGCAGTGCTGACCGGTTCCTGCCTGTGCCAGCGTCCAGAGCCTCCCCATCCTGCTTTTATTTGCGCTCTCTTCAAGCTGCCCCTGTAGTCTGTTCGTGCAGCTGGAACAGGTAAGGCATAGGAAGCCCCTTTTTACATTGCTTTGCCTTTAAGGACGTACCTGCCAGCTCTTCTGCAGGGAGTTTCCTGCAGAAGGAGCTGCACAGAGGCAAGGCACTGACTCATGCCTGAGAGAGACACCTTCTGGAAGGGCTGGCATGGAATAGCCACAGGCCCTTCGTGAATCAGTCCTGAGCAGTCTCATTAGCACCTGATTTCTTAATCGTATCCTTTATATACTTCTGCTAGCAGCTATTTTTGTATCCTCTGTGCAACTACCACGTTAGCAGGGACTCTCTGTCCACATGAAAGAATGTATTTTTAACCTGTTTGGGAATGTTTGCATATACTGTTGTATAAACCCTTAAAGATGAAAGTTTTTAAGAAAAAAAAAAAGTCTGCTAAAATCGGATGTTCAGTACCTTTTTCCAAAAAAACCCCAACAACTAGATTTTACCTTCTTTGAAGAAAAGATTTTGAAAAGGTTGTAAAAATATGTAACACCTTTTTGGGTTAAAATACTCTCTTGCCAGGTGTGGTTATTATAGCTGCTTATCACTCTTACATAACAGCTGTGGGTTTTTCTTTCAAAGTTTCAATTGCTTGCTTTTAGTGTTACTGCTGGCTGTGGCTCAATTTCTGTGGTTACGGCTTGCCATAATCTGAAATGGTTTCTGCCTGGCGTACGCTGCCACGCTGAGTCAGAGAAGGCTCAGAAGTGGCAGGGAGGAAAACGAAAGAGGGCACAGATTGCTTCTGTCTCAGCTGGGTAGAAGCACAGTTGTATGACAGAGCTGAAGGTTGTCCAGTGGAAAAGGCATTGAATCACGACTGGCAGAGATGACTCTGCTCTGAGTGGAGTCTTGGCAGCAAAATAGTGACGAAGCAGCATCTCGATTACATCTTCCACCTGGTCTGCCGCTGAGAATTATCCAGAAGCTGCCTGGCACAAAGCTAACGTAACCTCCACCCGGTTGCCACTGGCTGCTGGAGGTTTAGGCTGGGTTGGATCCCACTTGTTGCCCTGTGCTCGTATCAGTGCGCTTGTTGACCTGGCTGTGTTCACTGCATTCCACAGCTGATCATTCAATATTGTTTATTTGAATTCCTCTGCAGGTTCAGCATGGCCTGATACAGTCACTGTTTTGTGCTTGAAGCAGTTACAGGTTTCCCTCACTGGGGTGGATTTGAACAATGTAATTGCTCCCCATCCTTTTCCTACGGTATGGGAATCGAGGGAGGACTGGTTAATTCATGCTGATAAGCAGTGTTCCCTGAAATTCCAAGTATTATTAATGCTATCAGTGTGGTTGGTCATGCTTTCTTGCTTTTCGTGAAGCCAGAAGTAAAACTGAAGCTCAGATAAAGAGACATTTGGCATTCCTATTCTGTAATATTTACTACAGTCTAATGATTGCCATTACAGATTCTTGCAAAGCATTCAGCAGCCCTGAGGGGTGGAACAACTCGGCAGGATATCTGCATTGCAACCGGAATATTGTTCCTGCTGGGAGAGGACCTGAGGGAGTATTTTTACTTTTCAGCAGCTCCTGCTGTGCCTCGGCGTGCACAGTCCACCTGGACTAACACCTTCAGCACTTCTCCTCTCTGCCTGGCAGACTGGCGCGGCGGTGTGACAAGCCTTGTAGTTCATCACGGAGCCGTGAGTAACACAGCTGATTGTTTTTTATCATTCACTGTTCCCAGTGTGTCACAGACCAGTCCGTAACTTCCTTTACAGGTGGGGAAATTGAGTCACACAGAGGTGACGTTCTGTAGGTCACCTGGTAAGCAGGGTGGAAGAGGTGAGAAGGAGAAGCTGGCTGGCTGAGCTCAGGCTGGGAGATCCGTACTCTGATTGCTGCTACCTCTTACTGAAAATCTGAGGTATGGTGGTCACATTCTGCTTGCCTCGTCTGCCTGGCTTGCAGGTTCAGTCTGCTGGAAGGTCTTTGCAAGTCTCTTGTTCCCTCCAGAACCTCCTAACAATCTCCAGAACTTGATTTGTATCTAAAATAACTGTCCAGAAAGCCAGAGCAGTCAGGCCTTCAGAAACTGTGCTCTGCTGAATGCTCTGTTGAATGGTCCAGCTCCCCAGTCACATCTGTATCTCTCACATGTGTATTTGTTAGAGCAGAACAAGGTGTCCTCCTGCTTCCAAAAATCTGAGAATTTGGTTTCAAGAAGCACATCTTGACTATCAGATCACAATTGGTCCTCCAGCATAATCAATGTGGGTTCAAAGATGCGGGCTGCAGTGAAAGTGGAACAGAAGAGAATTTAGAGCTGTGGCTGGCATGACTTTGGGAGCGCTTTCTCACACGTGTTAGAACTCCGAGAGCTGCGTGATAGAACCAAGGGCTCATTCCCCTTGAGCAGTCAAGTAGAAACACCACATTGGCAGCTTGGTAACAGAATAACCAGGAATTGCTTCAAGATCTGAGCTCTTATTGCCCTCTGCTGACCGTTTGCTATATAGTGCCAGCACTTTATTTTCTGCTAAGGTGCAAAGATTTCTGAGAATCTGTAGTAAACTGAAGGAGCCTCTCTTGGACAGAGAATTATTATTATTATTTGTTTCATATTTGGCTTCTCACTGTTGTAACTGGGTGCACAGCACTCATTCCTCATCACAGGTGAGTCCAATCTGGGCAGTTGTGCCATGGCCCTGGCTGCACACATAGCAACAACCAATTTTCCCCTGCAGAGCTTGCAGTCTAGAGAGACAAGACAGGAAAAGGACAGGAAAAAAAGAATGATCAGCCCCATTACGTGTAGTTGCTGAGGTACTGAAAGATCTAGCTGAGCTCATGAAAAGGGGCAGCTCTCTTACCTTGCTTGGAAGCTGTTGTCAGATGAATTCAAAGCAGAAATAAACTACAAGTTCTGACTGCAAGGAGAATGGATCACACTGTTGGCATCCTTCTCCTTTTTTTTTTTTTTTTTAAATTTTCCTTCTTCCTTTTTTTTTTTTTAATTTAAATTTTATTTTATTCCCTCTTTACAAGGTTAGATATTTCCTTATCTCAACCAAAGTCGCGATTGAGGCAAGTACCAGTCAGAGGTAAGCAGGCCAAGAAGCAATAAATAGGAGGTTGGACCAGACAGTCACATTTCTTGGGCATTAGCTTGCTGAAGGTCACATTGGAATTTTGTGAGAAAGCCAGGAAGTGAATCTTTTTTTTTTTTTTTTTCTATTGTCCAGGGCTGTAAAAACATTTTTTTCCTCTTCTTTATGTGTCAGAATAATCTAACAAATGGCTTGTAAAAAATGTATTTAAGTGTTATAGTGATGAACAGGGCAGAAAGATCTTGGACTTTTTTAAAAGATTGCTTTAGTCTATGAATTGCTACTTAGCTGTTCACCAGGACTTTTGCTGTGCTAAATCTACTCTTTGGATTTTGCTTCTTTAGTGGTTACGAGTGGGTAACTGAATAAATTGGTGCTGTATTTCAGCCATCAAGCGCAAGACAGGTTTCTGGCTTTCCATTGAAATATTACTAGACTCTCTACTCTGAATAAATGCTGACATGAAAAACCACTAAAAGCATACAGCTTTCCACAGACAGCACACAAAGAGGACTGTTATCTTCCACAACTTCCATTTTACCACACTAAATACGTTGTTTATTTGTTTGTTTGTTTTTACGGTTTACATTAGAGGTTAAGTCTGCTCTTACTGCCAGATAAAAGCTATTCCCAAACCCACACTGGAGAGGCTTCTAATTTTAGCAATTAAGACCACAGTTTCCAAGCCCAAATATGGAGAGGAGACATTAAAATTTCAGTTTCTGAACTGTAGTGGTGTTACAATAGGTTATAGCAATAATAATAGCAATGATAATAACAATAATAGTAACAATAATTAATAGTAACATCAGGCCAATGAACAAGGGGCTGATTGTCCTGGCTTGGATATTCTTGCTGGTTCCATTGAAAAAGGGGTAAATTAGGTTAGTTTTCCAGTACTCTGCATTGGTTAAGTGTTATAATATGGAAATAACACAGACACTCAGTAAAAAATCTTTACAAGCAGTACTGAATGGGAAATGTAGCAGGATCCACCTGTTCAAATGGAAGGATGATTGTATGAAAAGAATTGTAGGGGCTAGGGAAAACATGATAGGAAGAAAAACCTCGGGGAATGGGAAGTGGAGACAGGAAAAGAAAGGTACTGTGGAGGCAAACTGCAGGGTAAGTGGCAGAGAGTGCTCACCAGGAAGTGAAGGTGATGAATCCACCTGGTCATTAACACAGCCTAATGTATTAATGCCATTATGTTTTGCACTGTGCACTCTCCACACTAGGAAAAATCCATGATGAAGCTTGGAAAAGTCTGCTGGTGCTAGATGGGAGAGAATGGGCAGGATGTATGTGGTGAGTACCTTGCTGTGCAGATGATCATGCATTTGCAGTACATCCCAATGCCCTGAGCCTGTGTTGTAAATACAGTCCAGTTGGTAAAACTATTGTCTTTTACCAACCATATCCATCCAGTTGAGTGAACTCTGGTGTAGAAATCCAGAGTCATTTCCCTGCCCCTCAGCATTTCTCCTGCATGGCCTTCTTTCAGAGAACCAAGTTCTCTCATAACTCTGCTCTGTCATCTGTTACGCCTTTTTTTTTTTTTTTTTTTTTTTTTTTTTTTACAGAGTTTCCATTAAAACCACTCCCCCACTCCAGTATTTATGGCATTGTCACCAGTTGTTAAACTGCGACATGTGGTATTTTGTAAAGCTTTCCAGATTTGTGTACTTATATAAGAGTCTTGGCATTCATTAAAAAAGTTATCCAGCTAAAGAGGGAGAGAAAAAAAGGAAAAATTGTTTTGACTTTGCACTAAGGACTCAAAACCAAAAAAGCAAGAAAAAGCACACTCATTTTAAAATATTTTTAATCTCATCTAGTGAGGTCTTGAGAAGGAAGGGAGACTAACTCATAAATATTGGCCATGTGTTTATACTATATCCTAACACTCAGAATAGACTTTTGTTATAGGCTTGACTCCCTTAAACAGCAGATGATAAGTTTTTAATGTAATGAAAGATATGTTTCATTAAACAGGTATAAGAATCAAAACACTCATATTTAGACTGAAGGCCACATTAGGAGAATGATTCATGTATTCAATTGCTTTCTCCTTTCCCCTATGTTCTTTATATCTCTTACCAATTTCTTCACTGCTTCTTTATAGAAGTATCATTCAATGTCCATATGGAGAGTGATTTTGGGCCAGGAAGTGGAGAAGACCAGAGCAAGTATATAGCACATTATCCTTGATGGGGGAGAGTTGACAAAGAAAACACTCATCTTTCCAAAAATGATTTCATCTGCTGTAATTGTTTATAGGAGGACAGGTCTGGAACAAAACCTGAGTGCCACTTTGGAAGACCCTAACGCCTCCTCAGTAATCAGCAGCTGAGGCAGCCTGAACGTCTCCTGTTGCAGTTAATTTGTCCTTAAAAACTCCTTCAGAAAGCAGACGATGGCTGGAGCTTCTGTTCTCTTAAACATGACCCATTACATCAGACCCCACTGACATACGGCTCTAATGAGCCAAGCTGCAGATAGTCTGAGGTGTTGCCATCCATACCTGTCCTGCCTTTTCCAGAGGTGACTTTCCTTCAGCAGAATTGGCAAAGAGATCAATACCTACTAAGGTCCAACAGGTTAAGTTGCACTGCTGTGGAAGTTAGTTTAAAACTTGTGGTTACGATTTAACCTAGGCTACAGGAATGTTTCTTATTTTCAGATAACTCCAGGGCATTGCAAGTTGCAGTCTAGACAGCCTGAAAACTCTGTCCCACCTAAGGGGGAAAAGGTAGGCTCCCTTTTAGTAAACAGCTACAACAAAACTATGTTAAAATATCCAGGTGTCTGTTGCTGGCCTGCACAACAGTCGTGAATCAGGATTCCAAAACCTATAAAGCTGGCTTAAATGTTCATTTTCAAATTCAATTTGCTACTTCATCATCTGGTTTTGGTTTCCATTTTTTCTCTTTCACAACCATAATTGATAAAAAAACACAGTAGCCCTGTGATGCTCCCATTATCCTGACTTCAGAATCCAAATATTTAATAGTAGTATTCATGTTTTAAAAGTCATAGAGTGAAAATTATTACAGTTGGTTCATGGATGATTGTCCCCTTTTTAAATACGCTGTGGTATTAGGGGTACAGTTCTACAGTTTTCTTTTTATGAAAGCTATAGGATTGACCAAAAGGAAAAAAAAATCAAAACAAAACAAACAAACAAACAAAAAAAAACTAATACTGTCAGCAAACAGCCAGGAAACAGTAGGCCAGTGGAGAGCTCTAATGCCTTTGCGCCCTTTGTGAATCTCCTTCAAAAATGTGTAAAACAGGATGGGGACGCATTACTCTGTGGCTAAATTCAGAATTAGTATGATTGAGGTGCAATGCCATTCAAATCAAGACAAATGAATCCTACTCATTGCAGTATGAGTTTTGTCCTGTGGCTTGAGGTCTTCATGGAAATCTAACCATTTGTCTATTGCCCTTATTGCTTAGAGGAGGCAGCCAGCATTTCCATGAAATTATTTTAATGTAGAATTATTAAAACATTTTGCAGCTACAGAGATAGATGGGTTTTACATAAAATCTCTGCTCTTTGTAGCAACCCGATGTGATATTGAGCAAGATAATGGTCAGAAAGAACACTGCCAGGCTCCTAATGAGAAACTGTTGACAGTAAAATTACCCCAACATTCATCAAAAAGCCAATAAATGTCAAGCATAGGGCCTTTGATGCAGTAGCTCATAATTCCTGTTCAGAAGCCTTTGCAGGCTTTTCAGGGCACGTGACCGTCCTGCATTTCTGCTGATTTTACTGAAACCTTTGTTGCTGAAGAAGTACAAGGAGCAGCTGTTCACGTTCTGGATGCCATTGTTACAGTGCCCCTGGCTTACTGTGGGATCTCAAACAGAGCAGGTTTGGCCTCAGTTTCCCCATCTGGAATATGGGAATCACCATACAGGAATCACCCACAGACAATTCTGTACAGGACACGGTGTTGCCATCCAAATGCTCAGAAATCATGAGCTGGACCACAAAAATTATGATGCCAGCTTTTGCCAATGAGTCAGTCATCCAGGTTTTCGTGCTGTTGTAGTACACATTCTCAAGCTCTCTCCTCCACGGAAACAGAAGGTTTTATCAAACCAATTCTCAGTCAGTTGAATTCTAGGCTGGGCTGCCTTGAGAAAACCACGCGAAGCTCATACAAAATGCCCAAATGAGACCATCTCCCATTCTGTTCTTTGGCTCTGTTGAACATGAAAATCATAAACACCTTGTCCAACTCCTGAGTCCTCTGTCCAACTGCATCTTCACCATACATCCCCAAAACGAGGTGATGAGGGACAATATTGACTAGTCCATGAATTAGGAACAACCTTGTGCTGTGGTTATTCTACCTATCTCTGCACCCTGGCTTGTCCGTCTTGTTCACGAGGGGATCACATCCTCCAGATTTTGCTTGAGTATCTTTTCTAAAATTTCCACCTAAAGACTGAAAGGACTTTTTATAAGGCCTCTGCTTCACTGACACTTTGAGGTCAGTGTCTGAGTGGTTCATTACGTTCATCCAGGCAATTCATCGCTTGCATTTGCTCTACATTTCCATACTAGCTGCTCCCAGAAAACCTGTACCTTTCTGTCATTTGCAGGGATGAGCTGCATCCCAGCGGCTCTGTGCAGATGGAGGCATACTTAGTTTACAGAGAAGCCTGAGTGCATGCCACATGCTATTAGGGTCACTTGAAACTAGGCTAATTACCTGGCAGACCACTGCAGAGCAGACTCTTTAATAAAAAAGAGTGGGTGACAAGGGCTAGACTCCTTGCTATTTTAGGACAGACGCTCCCTCAGGCAGCAGATAGCCACAGCGGTAAGTCTCCCAATCTATCATTTGGTTTGTTGTTTCTTGGCTATGGAACATAATTAACAATTCTGGAACCGTTCTGTTTCCCAGGACTGGCCTGTAAATCTGTTAAATTAAACAGTAAAGGCAGATGTGGGGAAAAAAAAAAAATTACACACAAGTCAGAAATGAAAAATGATGTTGCTTTGTCAATCCATAGGGGCCAGTGCAGGAATATTCTAAAGCCTTCTGAAGCTCTTCTCTGTCTAGCAGTTCAAGCAAGAGGGAAATATTCCTGCCATTTTTGGAATTGATGATCGCTAATTACATAATTACTTTATTGCACAAAATAGTACAAACAAATACTGTGGAAGCTGAGTTAAAATGCACTAATAAATATTTTTCCCTTAAAGGTCAGGAAGATACAACACAGCCATTTGTTGTATCTCATAATATGCCAGTGAATTAGACTGGAAAAGACCACGACCCTACAAAAGCGGTGTTCTTAAGGACCTGACCTCAGCCATCTACAGCTCTGTGCTTCCTGAACGTCCATGGATTTGACTTGTGGAGGAACTTGAGGCATTGTTTTTTTTTTACATGGAAAATAAGGTAACACTGCTACCCTCTGCGTATCCTCTAAACAACCAGTCCACCATTTCTGATAGTTAACTTCTCTCCCATCACCATTTTGTCTCGTTAAAGCATGCCTGTTCTTAACTTTACAGAGCACTGCTCACTTCAAATAACACTAAGGATACCTACATGCCTTTGTAACACTAGAGTCTCATGAGGCCATTCAGATCCAACAAATTGATGTGCAGGAATAACAAGACCAGATTCAATTCTATTTCAGTGAAATTATTTCAAATAAAGTAATTATTCTTTAAAAATGCAGATTTTTTTCTCAAAACTTATAGCTGTCAATTAACAGTAATGAAAAACCTGCCTTTTGTGGATGGCAATCGCTTGGAGGAGAATTTCTAAATATCTGAAAGAATGTGCTCATCTAAACTGTCATTCATGTTTTAAGATGGCCAGTGAAACCATTTTATTACTGCATTTAGTTGAAAAGAGCACTGTTCTGCAAAAATCAGATAATGTACTTATTCCTAAAAGCCTGGAACAAAAGAGCCAGTAGAGATTTGCTGAGTGGTTGCAAGGTAGCCATTAAATATAAATATTTTTAAAAACAATTTACTCTTTCCTAATGCTTTTAGAGCAGCATGGGGGAGCACAGTCTAAGTGCAACATCTTACTGTATTGAAAAGGACATGATGAAGGTTACTGGGCTCCAGATTTAACCCTTCTGTCTCTTAACTGTTGTGGTTTATTGCGGCAGGCAGATAAGCACCACACCAGGGTGCTGACACCAGGACAACTGTTCATAACGTTTTCTTACCAATATAAACCGGGAGTTTATATAAAACATATTCAGCTTTCTTAGTGATTACAATGGAATTTTGTATTTTTAAAATGACTGTTCCCAACAATCTGCATTTTTCACAGTCCTATAGAAACAAACTATTTGTAACGGTGAATTGAAGTTTACGTTTCTCAAATTAAAAATAGCAGCAGGACTGGAAATTGCTTTCTTTTCATCCTGACCATCCATTGTGGACAGCAGAGAGAAGTGCTTTGTGGGGGTGTATACACAGAAGTGATGCATGTTTATATCAGCAGTTTGAATAAAAATGTGTGGGTCAGTTAGAAAAGAGCTATCTTTGGTAACCAAACTAGTCAGGTATGGTTCCCTAGTGTAAGGACAAACAGAATTTCACTCTTAGGAAGCAAGGTGTCATTCAACCCACAGATCCCAGCAGTGCACCTGGTAGGAGTACAGCCTGTTGCTGCTCTATGGGAGGCAGATTGGCTGAACTATGAGACCTCTTCCAGAAGCAGGGAGACTCTACCAGAAATGCCCTTTCCAATAAGATCCTCATGCTCAGGTCATTCTGAAGCAGACTGGCTACAGCTACATTGTATAGCACTTCACCTGGGTTTCCTCTAGCTCCGTTTGGCAACTTTGTGGCCCAAACCCCAAATTGCTGACTTTCCATTGTGGCAGTGTTTCAGTTTAAAGCGCCTGGAGAAACAGGCAGGCCTGCCAGGAGGACGTTTTTTAGCCTGATGCTGGGGATGCTCAGGAGTGCTGGGCAAGGCTCACAGGGTCAGCATCAGGGCATTGGGAAGGGTAGAGGCAGCCAAAGCTGTTGTGGACTCATCCATGCTGGCTTGGAGGAATGATCAGCCCCTGGAAAGAACCATCCCAGAACTTTACTGGGTAAGTCACTCACTGCAGAAAACTTGAGAAACAAACTGACATGTGCACTAGCAGGGAACCACGCACTAAGGAGTAAACACACCTGAATGACGTCCTTATTGATTCATACTCCCCCATCACTAACACACCCTCAGCAAATTTGCAGGTGATCCTGAGCTGGGGAAACAGCTGACATACTGAGTGGCTCGTCTTCAATCCAGAAAGGCCATGAGAAGGATTGCACCCAGGGAAGAGTGACACCAAGCACCAGAGCCAGCTAGGAACTGCCAGGCAGAGCAGCAGCCTGCTGAAACCCAGCTTATCGTGGATGCCCAGCTGAGTATGAGCCAGCAGTGCACTCATCACAAATAAGACAAAATGCACGGTGAGCAATACCAACTGGCTCAAAGTGGCCAGCAGATGGAAGGAATATTTTATTCCCCTCTGCTCAGCACCAGTGAGGCCATATTTGGACCATAGTACTCTTTTGGCACAGCCTGTGCAAAAGGGATGTTGAGAAACTGGAACTCATCCACCAGAGAGTCAATTATCTAGAGAACGTGACCTACAAGGAGAGCTGAGGAAGCTGGACTTGTTTAGTCTGGCACAGAGGAGCCTAGTGTGATCTAAGTGCAGCCTGTGACTGCTTGAAGAGGCATACAGAGATGCTGGAGCTGAAGTTTTCTTAGTAATGTCAGATAATGCAATGGGACAATGTTTGAAAAGTGATGCTTTGAGGCTCAGACTGGAGCCTCAAAGTTAAAGATTTTTTTTTTTCCACTGGGAATGTTGGACAGACTACCCAGAAGAGGAGCTGAATCCCTGTTGTTGGAAGATTTCAAGACCTTAAATCCAAGGCTGACCTCTTCCAGTGCTGGTAAAGACCAGCTCCGAGCACAAAGTCAGGCTTACGTGCAGAAGATTCTGTGATAAACTGAAGACACATAGCCTAAAGATTATGACTGGGTCAGAACATTGCCAGGTGAATCTCTGCTGAAGCCTGTAGGGAGTGCTTTTTGCAGCGTGCCCTTTGTGGAAACCAAACACCCCACGCCAGGCTTAGCCTCCCTGGAGTCAACAGCAAAATCCTCTAGATTTTGCAAGTGCTAATTTGGACTGATGGTGAAACAACAGGATTTGCTGAGGGAGACAAACTAATAACACACACAGTTCATAGGCAGGTGTATTTATAACAATGAATGGGTTAGTGTTACTGGCTTCTGCCTGTAACACACTGAACTGCATTGGAATATAAGTACTCCATCACCTCTGGAATGTGTCCAAACCCTATAATTCTCTATTAATAACAACCAGAACTAGGGAGACAGGTACTAAACAGGGTGATCCGAGTTCTCTCCCAGTCCATGTGATTCCATGTATAATCTGGGACATATCAAACTGATTTTTGTAGCACTGCATTCCTTCTGAAACCACAGAAAAGATTCATTGCTGAAAAAAAAATATTTGGTTTGATTTTTCTTAAAATTTATTATATATATACTTAGAAATAATTTATTGTGGCTTTGGCATAGGTATGATAAGAAATTTAACTTTCAGAAAGAAGAGAAATATAGTTCCCAAAGGCAACTGCGTGAAGAATTACGAAGCACAGCTAAGCTTAGCTTAGAAACAGTATTCATTTCTTCTCATCCTGAGAATGTGACCAGACAGGCTTCCGTTTCTGAATAAAGGCTTCAATGCCTTCCTGCCCATCCCTCAAAGTCAGATTGTCTACCATGACCTGAGAGGTTATTTTGTAAGCAGTATCAAGGTCCTGTGCCATCTGTCTGTAGAAAGTGGCTTTCCCTAGTGCCAGGACAGATTTGCTGCTTTCGCATATCTTGCGAGAGATTCTCATGGTCTCTTCTTCTAGCTTGTCTTCTGGTACCACCTTGCTGACAAGCCCATGCATTAATGCTTCGTGGGCAGAAAGAGGTTCACCCGTGAAAAGCATCTCTAATGCCACCTGAACAAGAAAAGACACCACATTAAGTCAATTCCACTGCTGTACTGCTTTTGTTTGGGGAATTTCAGTCTCCTCATTCAAATACGAGTTACTCTTTTGGCAAATTTGAGATTTAAATCTTGCTTCTTAAACTGCCAAGGAAATATTAAGAGGTTTCTACAAGAAAAGGAGTGGGTCTAGAGCTGGCCTTTTTTCAGACCTGCCCATTGATTGCAGCTTTTTTCGCCTCCAAAAGCCCAGAATCTCTGGTGTTTGCAATAGGAATCAAGAGAGATGCGGATGGTCCACAAAGTCAAATATCTGAACTCCATATTTTAAGCTGAGCATGGAATAATAAACAAACAAACACCTAATAAGTCAATGTGCAGTTTTTGAAAATACCTTAGTTTAAGTTTGGTCTGGGTGTTTTTAAATGTGTCCTTCTTACAGCTCCATCTACTTCAGTCTCCTGTTGCACTCAGCATCTTGTGCTTGAGGTTTCAAATTAAAATATCCCCCAAGTGCTCACTGACCATTCTGTGTTATTTCTCAATGAGATTTTTTTTCATGGTTCTTCATGCAATTGACTGATACCCAGAATCATAAGAGCTGATTATCCTTTTGGTATCTTTGCTTTGGTAGCTACAAACAGTGGCAACATTTCATTTGATAAAAGGTCAAATCAGCGATCCTGAGCACTGTAGGGAACACACCTGCTCCTTTGAAGAGTGACACAGAGAAAATTATGTTCCACAGAATTTAAAATGGTAATTGTAAAAATCATAAATACCAATTTAGAAACAGTTATAACTGTGCAGTATAGTACAGTTAAAAACCAAACTACGACAAAACACACAAGTTGTATTTGAACCTGATGGTCATACAAGATAGGAAATTTAAATTTGAAGGTTTTACTCAGCAACTGGACTTGTCCTTAAATCTCAGGAGAACCCTGCTGGGCTTGGAGAGCCTGTCCACATGAATCTAACGGGATCACGACTTAACATTTATTTTCTCAGTTCTGGAGGCTTTACAGGTCATACTACTGCTTATGCAGGGAGAAATGTATAGTAACAATCAGTAGGAAATAAACCAGGAAGAAGGTACGGGAGGGTTTTAGATGCTATTTAAAGCATCTTGATCTAAATGCAGGCAGATCATGCTGGTAGTGAAATGTCACTGCCTGGCCAGAATTGATAGCTCAGTGGAGCTGATATCCTGAACTTGCAGGGGTTTCTCATCAGGGGGAGGACGTCACTGTCTAAAGCACAGAGCTGTCTTTTGGGAAGCAGAGGGCTCACTGAGCTGGCGTGCTGCTGATACGAGTTCCTGCTGATTGGAATCAGATCAGCAGGAAGCTGCTTTCCCTAAACAGAGGTCATCCCTTTATTACTTTTCCCCCAG